TAAAAATACGGACCTACCTCTGCGAAACACCCCTGAACTCTCAAGCCCCTTCCTCCGAGTCCGCTTCTCCAGGCGTGCTGCTGCTTTCCGCAAGGCCCACTGAGCAATCTCACAAGGTTGCCCTCCCTGAGGCATAGGCTCATGCAAATCATCGTGGTCACCCTCCTTAGGCAAAGCCCAGCTCCCAGCCTTAATATTTTCCTTCATATCACCAGCAGCCTGAGCTACCGCATGAAGAAACATAACCCGGAACCAGACGACCGTCTCATCATCACACACCTGCCTCAAGCTACCTTGCGGCTCTAGCTCACCCCATCTATTCGGTCCGTCACGTTCCTTCAACTCACCCTGAGAGGTATCCTTAAAGTCGGAAGGCGAGGAACCCACAATCCCTCCTATGACCCCACTCTGAGCCCACAGAAGCAACTGTTGGTACACAGCATCTAGCCTCAACTCGCCCTTTCTTTGACGCTCTACTTCCAAAACCCGGCCATGCGAACCAACCTTACCAGAGCCAGAGAAGACCTGAAGCACTACGGACCCAGGCTTAGCTAACCTCATAGACCTCCTGGCCCTCCTATTCCAAGGGATTCCCCTATGGTCAACAATTCCGCTATCAGGCATCGGTACACTGATCTTCGAAACCAAGTGATCAGGGAGCTCAGGACACAACGCCCTGATAAAAGTCTCCTGATCGGCTCTGGGCAGGCCTTCCGGCCCACACTCCAGCACTCTTCTACAAAGCCACTCTCTTGCACAGTCCAAAGTGACCCTTTCCTTTTCCTCAGAATCTGAAACCTTACTAAGACCACACCTCTTAGCCTGAAGCTCCTCGTAATCTCGCAAAAGGCGAAGGCCAACCTCCTTAGGAATCAAAGGACAACCCTTCACTACCGAAACATCAAGTCGCCCATCCCGCGGATGTCGAATCTTACAGCCCTGCCTCTTCCAGTTAATCGAGTAGCCTAACTCAACCAAATAGCTAGCAGGCAAAATAACCTGGCACGGGCCTAGGTGCAATAGCGTACCATGCTCAGTAATGCGAAGGTCCGTCCCTCCACTGGCAAGGTCGACCCTAATCACCCTACAGCCCTCAGCTTCCCCCTGCAACGCAGGACGCAGCGCGTTGGTTGCGCCACTGTCAACCAGACAGAACAGAGGATCGGACGCGCTCGTGAGCGCGCTGCGAACCCAAGATAAATCAGGGTCCCTAACCCTCAACGGCTTCAAGGTAACACTCTTAAGAATCTTGGCTGCTTCCGCCACAAGCGCTTCCTGGCTCACAGCAGACGAGGCAGAGGCAACTGTTGCCCCAGTTCCAGTTGCCGAAGCATCTCTACCGGTACCGGTTTCCTCAATACCCTTCGCCTGAGGATTAGACTTAGGCTTTGCTTTTCCTTTAGGACTACCCTTTCCACCTCCCGGGGAACCAGCCTTAGGAGAACCCTCAGTCCCTGCCTCACTGGCCTGAACCTGCCTCCACTTTTCCGGAACAACGGTGCAATCAGGCCTGAAGTGACCCTCTTGTCCGCATGCCAAACATCTCCCTTGCTTACGTGCGGAACTACGATCATGCTTAAA